TTTTTTTTTTTTTTTTTTTGCGCGGCCATAGATATATTTGCACATTCAGTTGAAGAAAATTGACATCCTCTCGGATTTAAACTTGAAACCTATGAATCATTCGGACATCTTTCTTTCATAATCTTATCTATTAGCCTGTCAAAGGAGAAGAAAAATGCATCAGTTGTGTAACTATTGGGTAATTGGTATTTACCAATAAACAATATTGGGTAATTGGACACTAATTTCTTTTGAGTAAATCGATCGAAAAAGTGAAAGTTTGATGAAACCTCTCACTTTTTAGATGACTCTAATTCGAGTCTTGAGTATGCAAAATTTCCTGCTAGGGATCGTTCCCCTTAAACGGGTCTTATGCGATGCAAATCCGGATTAGTTGGGGCTCCAACGCGGATACTGAAAATCGGGTGAAAAACAAAAAAAAAACAAGAAGAAGAAAGCACATCAAGTTGACCAACTAAATCGGTAGCACATTCATGAGAATGAATTAGAAGAATGAAGCAATAAACAGATAGAGTACATTGTTGATTTATGAAAATGCTTCATATGGAAAATGCTTAATCCAACTGAATATTTTTGTGTGGATATATCAATTTGGTTATGGTTTTTTCTTTTAATAGATTGTTAGTTTATTAATTTGAGCCCAATAATGTACAAAATGCTTAATCGAACTGAATAATGTAAATTATGAATTTCAAAATAAAATATATAGTTTGTTTCCTACTCCATTAAGCACGAAAAAATTCATGAAAAATACATCCCACACCGATAATGAACATTTAATTTCATTAGTCTATAACTGACTGCGAGAAAGTATTGTTCGCCGAGCTCAGTAACATGGGCTTGTAACCCAAGTGGGGGCAACAAATTGGTGGAATGTTGGGCCGCTTCATACGGTAGGGCTTAGTGGGCTAATGTCTGGCCTGCCCTATCCAAGCTCAGAGTTGGGTCACGTGGCCCAAGTTAAAGCATGGGTTGCTGGGCTCCTAAAGTGGGGCGGAACGCGCGAGGCTGGCTTCACAGAGCAGCGAATAGCTCCCTCTTTGTGCAGTGGAAGGATAACGGGCCGGTGTCTCTAGGCCCAACAAATATCGGATGGGCTGCGCCAATTAGACCATCACTTTTTGGCCCATCTACCATTAATTTTTATATACTTTTTATTGATGAAATTCAAAAATAACCAGATTTAATAATTGAAAAATAGTCAAAGTTTCAAAAATAATTAAATTTTAGGTACTTTTCATGTAAAAATAAATCTGAAAGAAAATACAATTTAAAATCCGGAACAATATAGCGAAGTTCTAGCATAATATGTTGGAAGTTTTTCCACATGTGCTCCAATCTCCAGTATATTACGGTGGAACTTTTCGTGTTAGAGCAAAATAGTGGTTATTTTTTAATGACTTTGCAAACGTTGGCTATTTTTCAATTACCAATCCAAAAATTGACTAGCCCGTGCTATTTTTACCTTTTTATTGGGTTAAAAAGCGCATAAAAATTTTGCTTGTAATTAAAACAACTTTTTGGCTGTTATGGTATTCCCACAGTTTTATCCAGTTTAACACTCTTAAATTTCATTTGTTTGCCTTAAAATTTACTATATGTGTAACTTTAGAAGCATATTCCTTTAAAATTCAATTAGAAACAATGAAAATTTATCGACGTGGCTTCTACCAAATAAGATTAATTTGTTTAAGGTGAAAAATCGTGAGTGGAAAAAGCTTTGAGACAAAAAATAAAGGATGTTGTTTAACTTAAAAATTAATTTTAGAATAAATAATTAAATTTGTATTTTAAGGCCACTTACAAATAAATTTATTTAAAGTGCGTTTTATGAAATAAATAGCAACAATAATAAGCAAAAGAGAATAGAAGAATGAAATTAAAATTAGTTTTTGGGTTAAACAGAGTATAAAGATCAAATATAGGGGTGTTCATGGTTCAGTTTGGGTCGGTTTTTTCCGAAAACGAAACCAAATCAAGTAAGTCGTTTTTTTAAAATATTGGAACCAAACCAATTATGTCGTTTTTTATCAATTCGGTTTTTGTCGGTTATTCATCGGTTTTTTTCTTAAATATTAGACATACACTATCAAACGCATATTTCGGCGACTATAATTTCAACGTAACACTATCAAATCAATTGCTTTTGAGAAATCTATTATTTACCAAGATATATTGATAATAATTGAATCAAATGGTGATGAATAACTAAAGTTCTCAATTAAAAATTAATTATTTTTAGCATTAAATAAATTTTTGTACTTAGCAAAAGAAAACTGCCAATCAAACTAGAATGTGAAGGCAAATAATTAGATTATTATAATAGCAAATAACTAGACTAAAAATANATATATATAGGTATAATAATAAATTTAAATAGTTATTTTTATAGTCGATTTGGTTCGATTATTTTTTAATTAAAACCAAACCAAATTTGATCGATTTTTAAAATTCAAAACTAAAACCAAACCAAACCTAAAAGTATCTGTTTTTTTGGTCGGTTTGATTTGATTTTCGGTGTGGTTCGATTTTTTATGAACACGCCCTAATCAAATATAAGACATTTTCAGATACTTTAATTATGCAAAAAAAAAAAAAAAAAAAAAAAAAAAAAAAAAAAAAAAAGAGTACTTATTTTTAATTGAGTTGCGCACTGTAAGCTCTCACTCCTAAAACCCAAAGACCATAAATCTCCTCCGTTGAACGTGCAAATTTTCCGGTGATAAAAGGACAATGGCGGCTGCGGCGAGGACAGTGGGATCAGGGGTGGTGTTGCCGCGGCCGGTGACATTTGTTACCGGAAACGCTAAGAAGTTGGAGGAAGTTAGGGCAATTCTTGGCCAGTCTATTCCCTTTCAGTCCCTGAAGCTTGACTGTGAGTCCACACTAATTTTTTATTTTATAAGTACAATATATAGTAACTTGTGTTTAATTTCAATCTTTTGTTAAAAAAAATGAACCCCTTTATATCAAAATTTTATCTTTAGTGCCAGAGCTTCAAGGTGAGCCTGAAGATATCTCCAAAGAAAAAGCAAGAATTGCTGCCAAAGAGGTAATGCACCCTGACTTTATTGCATGTGTTTAACTTCTGTGCAGTGACGATGTAAAAATATTTAGAACATCAGGTCAATTAAAATGCAATTGCAGGTAACTCTATTAAAAAACATTGAATGATAATCTTTAATAAATGGAAAGTAACATGTTATAATAAGTTAAATTACAATGACAGTGTAAAAAATTTATTGCACTATCAGTATATATAACTTAAATCCTTATTGCATATATACAAACTTGTGTGTGTTTTTACTATCTTTGTATGTATATGTAGGGGCCAATTCCCCCTTTATTAGACTCTAGTTGAATCGGTGTTTACCAATGTAACACTCATCCGGTTTAGTACTTCAAGTGCTTATCTTGCGTATAATGTTAATCCTCGAGCATATCTATTCCAACAATCCTTTTAACCTAGCACTAATAGTCATTTTAAAAGCCGTCCATGCGCTTCAGAGAAATGCATGCTTCAACAAATAATGAAGCAGACTGTTCTTCGAATCTCAACTTTGAGAAGTTGGACTAATGTCGGCATCATAGTGTATTGGATGCTGAAATGACTTATTTTAAGTACAGTTTGATTATTTTCATTAAAATTTTGCTTATTACAGTACTAAAATTCATGTGTGTTTGGTACTTATTGATTTTTCATAAATTGTGTGCTTCGCTCGCTTTTTGCTTCAAGCCTCTTGGACCTTGTAGCTTTTTTGCGCTTTTCACTTTTAAAGAACATTGCTATTAGTAGTCCACTCTAAAGGTTATTCAATAAATGCTGGTTTCCGCGGGTCAAATTCTGAATCACTTTGTCATCATATTCTTCTGCGTTTGCTTTATACCAAGGTACTATTGCATTATTGAACTCTTATGGTATTTCACATTCATTTTGACCCAAGCATTTGCAATGTCTTGATATTTTAATATGAAACAAGTGAAAGACTGACCCATTTGATTCTAATTAAACGAGCCACCACAGATTGGGTTATAACACTTCTTGTCACTTTATAATTGTCCTCTTCTAGTTTTCATTGCCTTATCTATGAGAGACAGCTTTTAAATTTATTGGTTGTGTATGGTTGGGAAACTAATCGAATTATAAAAATTGGTTAGGTGAATGGACCAGTGCTAGTTGAGGATACTTGTCTCTGTTTCAACGCCCTTAAGGGTCTCCCAGGTACTCAACAATCATACATGTATATGCTTCAATATTTGTATATGTGCTTATTAGAGTTGATGCCAATGAATTAAGATGCTGTAATTATTTTTGCAGGGCCTTACATGTAAGTTCGTCCCCTCTTTTATCATTTTGCTCGAGTTAAGTGTTGTTTTCTTATCCTTTATATGCTGCCTATATTATCTGTTATGATTGTTAATGATGATTCTCAAGTAATATTCTTATTTTGTAATTCTGCTAATTGCACTTCAGAACAATGTTATAAACCATTGTGCTTTTCCCCAGTATGAAGTATGTTCTCAATTTGTTTATGTTCGCATCTGAACTAAACTAATACACTTCAATGAGTGTGAAATATTGGATTACTTAATGTGATTAGTTGTTTCAGCTCAAGCTGCATACTTGCTTGAGGCATATGGTGTATGAAGTTTTAATGTTATCAGAATTACGAGTTGTTTGGCATGGTTTAAAGTATTTTTACAAAAAATGTTTTCCTTGGTAACATCTTTTACTGTTTGGATGCTGATAATATTTTTACACCAGATGGGGAAAATTGACTTACATTGATGTGCGTGAGTCATTCTTCTTTGCAATTATTAACTTTATTTCCACTTGCTTCAACCAACATATAACTGTTTCCTCCTTTAATACTCAATATTATCACAAAGCACCTTCCTGATGTCCCAAACCCTACAGTATACTATTGAGATGTGTTTGATGTGTTGTAAATTGTTTTCTGTAACAAAATTTCCGTGTTCACCCAGCAAAACTATTTTCTAGATCATGTTAGAGTATGTGGTAATAAGATAAGTAACTTATATCAATAGTAAAATTCAAGGGATGCGGCACAAGGTATCTACTTGTCAGAACGAAAGCTTTGCATGAATATAGGCAACATTCAATGAAGCTTTCATGTTTCAAAAAAAAGAGCATAACAGCGTGCTGATAAACCACACCTTGGGAACTTATGCATTCCCTTTTTAGGAAGTTCTGCTCTTATGCATCTCAAACATAGAATGTTTCTAGGAATTCTCTCTACCTTTTGGTTAATTGTGCAGTAGAGAACCTTTTTTGCAAGTTTGTTATTTAAATTTTTCATATTAATTGATCAACAAGTTGTATCTTCAACTTTCTGTATTCCTTTTCCCTTCTTGTGGGGGGGGGGTGGGAGGAATTGGAGCTAATGTTGATGGCGGAAGTGTATTTAAAAACTTTCAGTTAGTGGGAATCTCTGGGGGCTTGTTCTTAATCATTGGAGTCTTTTGCAAGCATGAAGTTCACCCTTTAGATCCTGGAGTAAAGACAGAACATCTAATTTCCTTTCTAGAACCTCTTGAAAAGTTGAACATGCAGCCTAAGCTAGTTTTTATTTTTATTTTAATGAAGGCATCCTAAGCTAGAAAAATTGTATCCATTTTTATGAAATAGGTTTCTGGAGATTTTTTTTGGATAACGGTGGTGTCTGGGATAGCTTGAACGCGTCTTGACTATTCCACCAAATACCTGCTACTTAAAATAGGTTCCTAGAGATTGTTGCTCCAATGTAAAAATGTAAAGGCTTTTCTTTCCGTAGGACAATCTTCTTGCTCGATACTAGAATCTTACTCAGCATGCTTCATGTTACCATAGATTGGTCTAATTTTCGTGCATGAAGCTAGAGAAGACATGACATTTTCGTTTTTCCATTAGCTGACCATAGAAACACGCATTTGCTTCATCAGTTCCTTAACAAAGTGAAAAGGGAAGTTTTGTCAACCAAAAGTTACCACAAATAGTGATGTCTTTTTCTCACCTTTGAAAAGAATGGTTGTTGGGTGAACTTACACTGCACACTTGTGAAGAGGAAAATATAGTTGTTACAGTTGCTAGTCAGTGGACTTTGCAGGATCTTTATTAACACACAATAAAAAGTTACAACCTTACATTAATCCCTTAACCCAGTCAAAATATGAAGGCTAAAATGGAGAGAAAATTGGAAATCAATCGTGTGAACTTGTAAGAAATTTGGAATTATGTCCAAAGATTTGATTTACCTTCTTGAATCATATGAAATCTTTAATTTTAATAGAATGTTCTGTAATTCACTTGTTGTGGACATGCCAAATAGTTTTTTTGTAATTCTTGTATATGCTGTTATTTCCCTATGTTAGCTAACTATTGTCTTTTGCCTTTGACATCATATAATTTATAATTCTTGCTTTATGCTGGGGATGCATGCCAATTTACGTTTTGCAGCAAGTGGTTTCTGCAAAAGATTGGTCACGAAGGTAATCGCTTAGCTTGCTTATTCTCATTCCATTGCTGTGAAATCACTCTGTTGTTTTGTTTTAACTTTACTTTTATTTTTATTTTCTGACATCTTCTAGGCCTCAACAACTTACTGTTGGCTTGTGAGGATAAAACAGCATATGCCATGTGTGTCTTTTCTCTCGCTCTTGGGCCAAATACAGAGCCATTGACTTTTGTTGGAAAAACTCTGGTAAGCATTTGCTTTTTTAGTCCATGAATATTTCCTTTAGACTTCGTATTTCCATTAATCTTTCTGCTGATGAGGCTTATGTTTCAAACTAGAAAGATCCTTGGTGGATGTTGCACGAATATTTTGCTAAAGTAATATCAAGACTGCTGGTTAAATATTTTAAAAATTAAGTACCAGAATGCTGGTTATTTGTTTACTTATGCAAAGAAAATGGAAAAGCAGTGCCTATTTGACTTCTTAGGATGGTGCTTCTTGTTTATTGCCTGTGTCTAGTGTCTACTATTTAGGCAGAATACCCTCGTCCATTCTTACTAAGAAATTGAAAGAAGCCCCCAAAACAGAAGGGTGGAAAGTTCTTTTACATCCTTATAAAGATAATCAGTTATACTACCCTAAAATGAATAACTTGCGAAACTTGATAGATTCTCTTTTAATATTTCTTTATTGGACTATGCAAACAATAGCACTAACATTGCGAACATGGCTCTTCAGGGAAGGATAGTTCCAGCGAGGGGGCCCAATGATTTCGGATGGGATCCAATATTTCAACCTCATGGCTATGACCAGACGTAAATCTCCTGTCCTCTTTATATTTGCCTATTGAACGTCTTGACATGAAGAGTACTAACTGATAGAACTGTTCTTGCAGTTATGCTGAGATGCCCAAGGAAGAAAAGAACAAGATTTCTCACAGGGGTAAGGCTCTTGAACTAGTGAAGTCACACTTCGCTGAGGCTCGATACACTTTCCAGACGGACACCTCTGCCTAAGACTAGGGTGTATGCTTCTGTAGTGACATAATTTTCATGTTTTTGCTCAAGAGTTACAATTGATGACAGTGTTATTCCCCTAGATAAAATAGGGTGGAGGATGAGATATATGAAATATGAGAACTTACAATTGTTGTTAATAGATTTTGTGATCTATTTTAGAATGTTAGATCATAGATAAGACAGCAAATATTCTATTGTTAATGTACTGATGTATTTTCAGATTAGAAGCGTATTCTCCTATAGATTCCAATGTCACTTATCTAATGATTATAGCATATCGTAACCTGATAAGTTGAAGCTCCACCAACAGCAGTGATTGTTTGCTTATTTTGCATGTTCTTAGATGCAATGAAAAACTCCTCGTGCCGAGGGTCTACTGGGAACAGTCTCTCTTCATTCACAGTAGGGGTAAGATCGGCGTACTCAGTACCCTCCCCAGACCTCACTCGTGGGATTATACTGGGTTTTTTGTTGTTGTTGTTGTTGTTGTTGTTAGTTGCAATGAAAAACAAAAATCTTTCTCATAAGTAATTTTGAGGTTTTCTCAACAACAAAAATCAGAAGCCTTAATGACCATAGTATTTTTGAGATAGGAAATCACTTTGCAGTCTGAGCCTAGGTAGACCTATTTTTCATAGCATTGAAAGATTAGTGTTAATTAAGCAACTAAAAGCAAAATATGGGTAAACAATTGGTACATAAGTTGAAAGGCATCAAAGTTTAAACGAGGAAAAAGATAACTTCTGTTATCGACTTATAATGATTTATTATCATTTCCCTCACTGGTTGGAATCGACTCTCCAGCATAATCATTGTGGTTAACCAAAACAAGTAACCACATTAGATCTTGTCTCATTTCTAATACAAAATACATATATTATCTATTATGCTTTTATTAAAAAAAAAAAAAGATCAGTGTTGTGCCAGTAGAAATCAGATCCATCTAACGTTTAATCCATCTTTGTCCAACTAAAGGTTCTCATAATCATTATTGATCTAATCAGCTATTTATGATCTAATTAGCAATTTTTAAAGACGAAAAAGTTTCATATGGATTCATGAAACAATTACGGCTTTAATTTGGGGAGATGGAGATGGCACTAAACATCCCCTAATCCCACTATCCCTCAAGTTCTTTCAATTTTTTTTTTATCTTGCTCTTTCTGTATGGAGCGTTTTACTCTCTTAATAAGTATACTCAGCGTAAATCTAAATTAATCAGGTTAGTGAGTTCTGGATTCAAATGCTTAAAGCAAAACTAAATAACACGCTATCGAGTTACTTTTTGCAAATCTGGAAAAAAATAATTGTGTGTTCTAGCTAAATGAAGGAAAATCATACAATGCAAAGATAATTGGGACACATAATTCATAATGAAGATGATTCTAAACTATCGTTTGGACATAGATAACTTGAAAAAAGAGTTTTGAATTTGTGCTGAAAGTTTTTGGAAGTTGAAGTTGTGTTTGAATATGTATTTTATTTGAAAAAAAGTCGGAAGTTTTGTGAGTGAGAAATTTTTTCACTAGGACAATTTTTGGGAACTTGAAAAAAAATTATTTTTTTTTTTCAAAAACTGATCAAATTCTATGAACAAACAATGTTTTCAAAATTTTCTTGAAAAAAAGTAGCAAATTAGGGCTTTATCTTTTTATATATTTCAATCTATGTATAACATATAACATGGGTATACATGTGGTAAGTTGGTCAGTGCATTAAGAATATTGAAAGACACCCAATCTTCAACCCTACAACTACAAAGTAATGTATCAAAATTGAGGCAAAATTAAAGAATAGGTCACATGCCCTATGGGGTCCATCCTCACATGCATAGCTTTGTGAGTTTAATTCCTCCCCAGAATCAGAATGTGAAACTGAGACTCTTAGCTCATTGTTCCATCAAAGTCATTGTAGCAATATGTTAGGTACACCACCGTCACATTCATACAACAATTTTGAACTTGTATCTTTATAGGGGAGACCTCGCGTAATCGCTAAAGTTGTTGTCATGTGATCAGGAGGTTATGAGTTCGAGCCGTGGAAATAGTCTCTTGCAGAAATACAGGGTAAGGTTGCGTACGATAAACCCTTGTGGTCCGGCTCTTCCCCGGACTCCGCGCATAACGGGAGCTTAATGCACCGGACTGTCCTTTCTTTTCTTGTTACTGGTGTTGAATTCTATAGGTATAGAAGAGGGAGGTTTTCTGACTCATAATTTGTACTATTACGTGTATTTGAGATGCAATGTTCGATTGGAGTCTTTTAGTCTAGTCAGAATTTATATGACTGTAAAAAGTATGGTGAATTTTTAGAGTTAAAGAAACTTTGATCGTTTATATAATACATTGAATTGACATGAGTGTAAATGGAACTGAATTGACATGAGTGTAAATGGAACGATATGAATGTGAAGATTCATACAGCCAACTCCAATTTCCTGGGGATTGAGGGTAGTAGCAGTTGTTGTTCNGGGGGGGGTGTTTCTGGCAATTAACATTTTTGTTTCGTTCTTTAGAATAAGTTTCATCTTTATTTTTCAGAGATAATGCCATGAAATTTTCAGTGCGTCTCATCCCAAATGAGATGATTTCATCTCCTTATAAAACAAGAGGAAGGTAATTTAAGCTCTTTATAGTTCTATTTAGTTTTAATCCTCAAGCTTTACCAAATTTATAGAGTAAAAATAAGGAATCCCATGTGACAAAAATCTTTTTTCATCATTATGATAATAGATTATGCCTAAGTGGAGTTGATTTATTCACGACAAACCATTAGGCATATAAATCTCCAAAGTTTTAACGGTATCATGACTTCAAAAGGCACACTCATCATTAAAGTTAGTTTTGCACTCTAACAATCTTAAGCACATGCTACCATTATGGCAACTACCAGCAGGATGAAAAGCAAAACTTGGACAAGTGTAATTGATATCAAATTATACTATTGATTTAACACAACACAAAGGCACAACCAAGATGATATTAATGTTTCTGTTGACAATGACAATGACAAAGCAAAAAAGTAAAAAGTAACATAAAGGTAGTAACTTTGCATCATTTCAAACAAAAAAGGTTCTTTTTTCTTTCCCTTCCAATAACAGTTTTTGACATTCACACTATATAGCTTGTATGACTCAAGAAAGCTAAGAAAAAACTTACAAAATCATTCGCTCCTATAATAAAGAAAAGGCAATAAAAACACAATAGCCAAAGCACAATATGCAGACTAAAGACTCAAGACACAAAGATAGAGTGGGGGTGGTTGACAAATGGTGGTTAGAAGAAACCAATGGATGAAGAAACTGAGAACTCTTGAGATTGGAAAAAAAAAGAAAAGAAATGGGGCATGGACAACGCTTCTGCACCTGCTTCAAAGAACAGATATTGGGCTTTTCTTGAAGTGAAATCAGGCCGAGGTTGCACAACGCTTTGAGACGGGAACTGAAATTGACAGTGTAAAAAAAGTACACTTGCCAAGGAGGAACTGAATAGATGATTAATGGACATTGACAAACAATGGGATATAACTTTGATTTGGGAGAACTTTAGGGTAGTGCTTTTTAGTAGTAAGAATGGGAATTTAATACTTAGTAGAAAAAAAGAAAAAAAGGGACACTTTCTTTTGGAAAATCTGTATAAATGATAGAGGTGAAGCTGGCTGTACTAGCACATGCGGCTTCTGCGGCAAGCAAGGGGACCAGCACCTGAAGTTATGGCGCCCACCATAGAAGAGGATTTGGCACCTAAGCTTGAAGCTCTTGCATAGCTGGCTGAAGCTCCAGCTCCTGATGGAGTGAAATAGGCACCATTAAGCATCAAGTCTCCCTCTGATCTCCAGTTCCAACCCTTCCATTGACCTGCTGCTGTGTCAACCCTTTTTGTTACCTGTGTTTCAATCAAATTAGTTAATTCACTACAATTATAAAGTAGCAATCATCTACAGTTTTTGGCTTTTAATTACCTCCTTTGCAAAAGGATTAGTTGGGGCAAGGTATCTGTTTCCTTGACTGTTGATGGTGGGGTTAGCACTTCCACCAATAGCATACATCTCCCAGTGAGTGTAGTCATTGTTCACCACATGGAAGTAGCCATGTCTGCATCTGCAATTTTTCACAAACACTCACATCATTACACTTTTTCAAAGGTAATTATGATCTGTTTAATTTTTTTGACAAGTAATGGTAATTATACAAACAACTCCATGTTGTTTCAATTTTGAGATATAGTTGATTGATCGATAAATGGTAAAGAATGATAATTATGATTTCTTGAAATAATAAGATTGGATAAAGCTGTTTAGAGCAAGTTCCAAGAGCAGACAGTTACCTTGGCATTCTTTGAATGAGACCTTCTCCAAAGTGGTTATAGGCAATTGTCACTTGCATCTGCTTGTCTCTAGTGTAGGAGTCACTGTGGCCCAATAGCATGACCTGTTTGCATTAACACAAATAGCCCCTGAAGTTAGTTCTGGACAGCAGAGATAGAAAAATCTAAAAGTAGTTTTGAAAGAATTAAAAGTACCTCATTATGATGGGCGAAATGATTGTTAGAAATAGTAATGGCAGTTGAGCCCATAACAGCATCAACAAGACCATCAGCACAGTGAGAGAGTGAGTTATGATCAACCCATATGTGGCTTGAGCCAAAGATTGAAACGGCATCACCATCAGCCATTGTCCTCCAGCCGAAATGGGTCGTCGAACTCCTCACCATAGCATTCCCCGTTGGCTTGCAATCATGAATGTGAAGGCCATGGATAATAATATTTGTAACAAACTGAATTGTGATACAAGCACCATTGGCTATGTGAACATTGTAGCCACGGGCATCGATAGTCTTGAAACTGTTCATAATGAGCTCCTGTTTCAATTGTATGACCATGTCACGGTTGAAAACAATCCATAGAGGCTCCTCCTGGATAACAGCATGGCGAAGGGTACCGGGCCTGGGGTTAACAGGGTCATCGTCGCGCGAATCAGTGACAACATAGTAACGACCATCGCGACCACCAATGGCATTGCGCCCAAATCCAATGCCACAATCAGCAAGGCGCTTGCGGTTCTTTTGCCAATTTGGGTCACAACGCCAGCAGTCATCAATTGGATTTCCTGTCCCACATGAGAAATATCCAAGTCTTCGCCTCTCAGTGCTGTTCCTAATGCTCCTGTTAAGCACCCAAACCATAATTAGCTATTTAACACAAAGAAATGTTTCATATAGTGCGGATAGTCATTTTCACACAT